GAGATGTGGAAAACGGTGTGGAGAGATGTGGAAAGCGGTGTGGAGAGATGTGGAAAGCGGTGTGGAGAGATGTGGAAAGCGGTGTGGAGAGATGTGGAAAGCGGTGTGGAGAGATGTGGAAAGCGGTGTGGAGAGATGTGGAAAGCGGTGTGGAGAGATGTGGAAAGCGGTGTGGAGAGATGTGGAAAGCGGTGTGGAGAGATGTGGAAAAGCGGTGTGGAGAGATGTGGAAAACGGTGTGGAGAGATGTGGAAAACGGTGTGGAGAGATGTGGAAAACGGTGTGGAGAGATGTGGAAAAGCGGTGTGGAGAGATGTGGAAAACGGTGTGGAGAGATGTGGAAAACGGTGTGGAGAGATGTGGAAAGCGGTGTGGAGAGATGTGGAAAACGGTGTGGAGAGATGTGGAAAGCGGTGTGGAGAGATGTGGAAAGCGGTGTGGAGAGATGTGGAAAACGGTGTGGAGAGATGTGGAAAACGGTGTGGAGAGATGTGGAAAACGGTGTGGAGAGATGTGGAAAGCGGTGTGGAGAGATGTGGAAAGCGGTGTGGAGAGATGTGGAAAGCGGTGTGGAGAGATGTGGAAAGCGGTGTGGAGAGATGTGGAAAGCGGTGTGGAGAGATGTGGAAAGCGGTGTGGAGAGATGTGGAAAGCGGTGTGGAGAGATGTGGAAAGCGGTGTGGAGAGATGTGGAAAACGGTGTGGAGAGATGTGGAAAACGGTGTGGAGAGATGTGGAAAACGGTGTGGAGAGATGTGGAAAACGGTGTGGAGAGATGTGGAAAACGGTGTGGAGAGATGTGGAAAACGGTGTGGAGAGATGTGGAAAACGGTGTGGAGAGATGTGGAAAACGGTGTGGAGAGATGTGGAAAGCGGTGTGGAGAGATGTGGAAAACGGTGTGGAGAGATGTGGAAAACGGTGTGGAGAGATGTGGAAAACGGTGTGGAGAGATGTGGAAAACGGTGTGGAGAGATGTGGAAAACGGTGTGGAGAGATGTGGAAAACGGTGTGGAGAGATGTGGAAAACGGTGTGGAGAGATGTGGAAAACGGTGTGGAGAGATGTGGAAAACGGTGTGGAGAGATGTGGAAAACGGTGTGGAGAGATGTGGAAAACGGTGTGGAGAGATGTGGAAAACGGTGTGGAGAGATGTGGAAAACGGTGTGGAGAGATGTGGAAAACGGTGTGGAGAGATGTGGAAAACGGTGTGGAGAGATGTGGAAAAGCGGTGTGGAGAGATGTGGAAAGCGGTGTGGAGAGATGTGGAAAGCGGTGTGGAGAGATGTGGAAAGCGGTGTGGAGAGATGTGGAAAGCGGTGTGGAGAGATGTGGAAAGCGGTGTGGAGAGATGTGGAAAGCGGTGTGGAGAGATGTGGAAAGCGGTGTGGAGAGATGTGGAAAGCGGTGTGGAGAGATGTGGAAAGCGGTGTGGAGAGATGTGGAAAGCGGTGTGGAGAGATGTGGAAAGCGGTGTGGAGAGATGTGGAAAGCGGTGTGGAGAGATGTGGAAAGCGGTGTGGAGAGATGTGGAAAACGGTGTGGAGAGATGTGGAAAACGGTGTGGAGAGATGTGGAAAACGGTGTGGAGAGATGTGGAAAACGGTGTGGAGAGATGTGGAAAACGGTGTGGAGAGATGTGGAAAACGGTGTGGAGAGATGTGGAAAGAGGTGTGGAGAGATGTGGAAAGCGGTGTGGAGAGATGTGGAAAGCGGTGTGGAGAGATGTGGAAAGCGGTGTGGAGAGATGTGGAAAGCGGTGTGGAGAGATGTGGAAAGCGGTGTGGAGAGCGCGGAAGGGAGAAAACGAGGGGTGGAAAGGTCGAATGAGTCACATTGAAACCTGTGGGCAACAGCAGGTACAAGCAGAGAGGGCAAAAGGGGATCTGAACCAGGACGAAGGAAATTCACACTGTGGAACAAAATGAGACTGAAGTGAGTTAAAGGGGAAGACAAATGTGTTTGTCACGTTGAACAGGCAAGAGCTTACCGCAGGTTGGAGAAGAAACGGCTGAAGTCGATTTTTGAGTCGACTAAAATAAGGTGTTTGAGTCGACTCAAATAAGGTTTTTGAGTCGACTTAAAAAAGGTGTTTGAGTCGACTCAAAAAGGAGTTTGTCACGTTGAAAGGCCAAGAGCTTACCGCAGGTTGGAGAGGAAACGACTGAAGTCCCGGTGGCCGGGCAGCATGGTGACATGCAGCATGTCGGGATTCGATAAGATCTGCACTTGATACGAGTGAGATCAGGATCCGTGAAGCAAAGCGCAGCAGCCGGTGTAGGGTGTGTCAACTGAGGTGAGGATGCCAGGAGCACAACAGAAGCAGCTGGGGAAGGAGAAGTCACAATGAGACAGGCAAAACCTCAAAACTATACAGCATACCGCGGCATGCACCATGCACCATGCACCATGCACCATGCGCCATGCCCCACACACAACACACATTGGCTCACCAGGCGGGACTGCCCTCCAACCTCCGCGCTCCCGCGGCGCCTTGCGCCATTCTCAGGCATTTCGCCCGCCGAACTGTCTGCATCCGCGCTCCCGCAGCGTCTCGTGTCATTCCCGCGCATTCCGTCAGTCGAACCGGCTGCATCCGCACCCCCGCGGCGCCTCGCACCCCCGCGCATTTCGCCAGCAGAACGATCTGCATTCATGCTCCCGCGGCGCCTCGCACTTCCCTCGCGCATCTCTTCTCGCGCGCGATCTGCTGCCATGTCCTCGTGGCGCCGCGCGCCACCCCCGCGCATCTCGTTCGCCGAACGATCTTCTTCCATTACACATCCGCATTCTTCGCGTCCATCTCTGCCATCGCTTTGCAGATCGTCCTCTTTCGCATCCGCCCGTTCTTCTCCGCGGCGCCTCGCGCTAAGTTGCCAAATACGCTCAGGACACTGTGCGTTTAGCGGATATACGCTAGCGTTTACACGCTAAACGCTAAACGCAAGCTAATACGCTATACGCTTGCCAATTTTTTTTGGGGCAGCCCGACCGAAAAAAATGTGAATATACGGAAAGATGCGGAATTGCACGACGAGCATTTTGCCACCGTCAAAATTCACGTCCGCGATTTGTGCAAGGGTGAACGGCGATTTCCGCGCTGATCGGCAATTTCCCTTCCCCGCAGATCCGCGCGGATCGAAAGTTCTTCCCGCAGAAGGGATGGGGGGAAAGACTCTCCCTAGAACAACGTCTTGTAGATCTGGACTGGAAGAAAGTGACGTGACGACTGTACAAATTTCAAGTATCAAATTGGTTGGATGAGATAGATGCAATGCGGTGAAGATAGGTGATGGGAGGGGGAATTGGTTGGAGGCAACATTGGCGATGGGTGTGGGGCACGAATTCCAGCATTGGCGATGGTTTCCCTGTCCAGGATCTCTCCTACGCCTCCTCCTACACTCTAGCAATCATGCCTTGTGATTGCGAGCCCGAAGCAGAGCAGATTCGCGCAACGCTATTGCAGTCTATAGCCTACGAACTCTGCATCTTAGCCCGAATTCGGGCCGAGTCGAGGGTGGTTATCTTAGTATGGAGAAAAACTTACCTCTGAAACATAACCCCTTAGACCCCCCCCCCTATAATAGCCCGGGCGGATTTTTTTCCCTGCCCGGGAAAGTTTTTTCCCTGCCCCGAAAAGCGTATGTCCAAATCGCTCCCTTACGCGTATAGCGTATATACGCTAGCGTATATACGATACGCGTATATACGCTATAAGCGTATATTGCAACTTAGGCCTCGCGCCATTCCCACCCATTTCGTTTTCGTCCGTCGCACCAGCTGCATCCCCGCTGCCATGAAGCCTTTCGCCACTCCCATCTGTTTCGTCCGTCGCACCAGCTGCATCCGCGCTCTCGCGGCGCCTCGCGCTTCCCTTGCGCCTGTCGTCCGGCGAGCAATCCGCCGCCGTGTTCCCTCGACACCTCACTCTGCCTTCTTCACACATCCCCTCTAATGCAGGATCTGTTTCCGCGTCGCTATTACGCTCTTCTGCACCTCGATTCTGCAGATCTGCCTCCTCCCTGCCTAGGCGTTGTTCCCCGCCGCCCCGCGCAGTGGTGACACCTTCGCAATCTCCCTCGTCGTCAGCCTTCCTTGCTGATTCCGGCGAGTCCGTCATATCCGCGTCGTCATGACGCCCTTCTCCCGCTCCTTGCTGGCCACCTGCCAGATTCCAAGGATCACTTCCGGACGGACGAGGCCTGGGCTCCGCCTTCGCATGCGGATCGCCCTGGCTTCCTCCTCGTCGCCCTCGTATGGGTGAGCCCCCATCCGCGCAGTACGCCGTCCTCCGTGGCGAACGCGTCCGCGATCTCCCGCGCTCCAATGAGCGCATCCTCCGCGACGGTGAAAACTCCCGACGCGAGTCCATCTGCTGCCAACGCAGCTCGTGGCAGTCCATACCGCCAATGCTGTTCTCTCGTTTGGCCTCGTGCCAGATTTCCTGTCTCTCGAGGGCCCTGGAATTGTGCCCGCAGCGCCTTGCAATCCCCCATACTACCAACTTCGCGCTTCTCCCAATGTCCCAACTACCTAGTGTACAAACTGAATGACAATTACTACACTGCTTCTACACCCCAGTTAGCACAGTTACAGAATATAATGCTCTTACCATGATATTCAGTGACAGATGACCCGCCGAGCAGCATGGGCAGTGTCACCATCATATATCGCCATCTCCTCTCCCACCCTCCTCAACTGCCCTTCTACTGCCACATGCCCCTCCGCACTCCTCCCCCTCTCCCCACACACATCTCTTTCCTGTCTCTCCCCTGCCACGTCAGCTTCTGTCTTAATGCCAGCCCCCAGCATTGTTCCACTGCCCTCGCCCATATCATCTGCTCCGTTTTCTCCCCCGTCCCAACCCACCAACGCATGCAGTGCTCGCAGCTGGTCCTGAGCTAGAGCCTTTTGGGTTCGGCGACAGACAGGGAGGTTTGGCAAAAGAGAGCATAAGAAATGGAAGATTAGGTTGAAGATTAATGAGGAGACTAGCAAATAAAATGTTAGAGGGGAACGAAGTAAAAAAGGGATTAGGTGCGGGGGGTTGCATGCAGGGGTTGCATGCAGGGGGTTGGATGCAGAGGGTTGCTTGCTGGGGTTGCATGCACGGGGATGCATGCAAGCGGCGTCCCTTAGAGGAGAGGCGCTTCACAGAGGAGTGGCGCTCGCCTCACATCACAGAGGAGTGGCGCCCGCCTCACACCACAGAGGAGTGGCGCCCGCCTCACATCACAGAGGAATGGCGCCCGCCTCACACCACAGAGGAGTGGCGCCCGCCTCACACCACAGAGGAGTGGCGCCCGCCTCACATCACAGAGGAGTGGCGCCTGCCTCACACCACAGAGGAGTGGCGCCTGCCTCACATCACAGAGGAGTGGCGCCCGCCTCACACCACAGAGGAGTGGCGCCCGCCTCACACCACAGAGGAGTGGCGCCTGCCTCACACCACAGAGGAGTGGCGCCCGCCTCACATCACAGAGGAGTGGCGCCCGCCTCACACCACAGAGGAGTGGCGCCCGCCTCACACCACAGAGGAGTGGCGCCTGCCTCACATCACAGAGGAGTGGCGCCCGCCTCACACCACAGAGGAGTGGCGCCCGCCTCACACCTCAGAGGAGGAGTGGCGCCCGCCTCACACCACAGAGGAGTGGCGCCCGCCTCACACCACAGAGGAGTGGCGCCCGCCTCACATCACAGAGGAGTGGCGCCCGCCTCACACCACAGAGGAGTGGCGCCCGCCTCACACCACAGAGGAGTGGCGCCTGCCTCACACCACAGAGGAATGGCGCCCGCCTCACACAACAGAGGAGTGGCGCCCGCCTCACATCACAGAGGAGGAGTGGCGCCCGCCTCACACCACAGAGGAGTGGCGCCCGCCTCACACCACAGAGGAGTGGTGCCTGCCTCACACCACAGAGGAGTGGCGCCCGCCTCACACCACAGAGGAGTGGCGCCCGCCTCACACCACAGAGGAGTGGCGCCCGCCTCACACCACAGAGGAGTGGCGCCCGCCTCACACCACAGAGGAGTGGCGCCCGCCTCACATCACAGAGGAGTGGCGCCCGCCTCACATCACAGAGGAGTGGCGCCCGCCTCACACCACAGAGGAGTGGCGCCTGCCTCACATCACAGAGGAGTGGCGCCCGCCTCACACCACAGAGGAGTGGCGCCCGCCTCACACCTCAGAGGAGGAGTGGCGCCCGCCTCACACCACAGAGGAGTGGCGCCCGCCTCACACCACAGAGGAGTGGCGCCCGCCTCACATCACAGAGGAGTGGCGCCCGCCTCACACCACAGAGGAGTGGCGCCCGCCTCACACCACAGAGGAGTGGCGCCTGCCTCACACCACAGAGGAGTGGCGCCCGCCTCACACCACAGAGGAGTGGCGCCCGCCTCACATCTCAGAGGAGGAGTGGCGCCCGCCTCACACCACAGAGGAGTGGCGCCCGCCTCACACCACAGAGGAGTGGCGCCTGCCTCACACCACAGAGGAGTGGCGCCCGCCTCACACCACAGAGGAGTGGCGCCCGCCTCACACCACAGAGGAGTGGCGCCCGCCTCACACCACAGAGGAGTGGCGCCCGCCTCACACCACAGAGGAGTGGCGCCCGCCTCACATCACAGAGGAGTGGCGCCCGCCTCACATCACAGAGGAGTGGCGCCCGCCTCACACCACAGAGGAGTGGCGCCCGCCTCACATCTCAGAGGAGGAGTGGCGCCCGCCTCACACCACAGAGGAGTGGCGCCCGCCTCACACCACAGAGGAGTGGCGCCCGCCTCACACCACAGAGGAGTGGCGCCCGCCTCACACAACAGAGGAGTGGCGCCCGCCTCACACCACAGAGGAGTGGCGCCCGCCTCACATCACAGAGGAGTGGCGCCCGCCTCACACCACAGAGGAGTGGCGCCCGCCTCACATCACAGAGGAGTGGCGCCCGCCTCACATCACAGAGGAGTGGCGCCTGCCTCACACCACAGAGGAGTGGCGCCCGCCTCACATCACAAAGGAGAGGAGAGGAGAGGAGCCTCATAGGCTCATCATAAAGGAGAGGCGCCTCTTAGAGGAGAGGCGCCCCATAGAGGAGGAAGCGCGGGGAGTGGAGGAAGCGAGGGGAGTGGAGGAAGCGAAGAGAGTGGAGGAAGCGAGGTTGGAGAGAAGGGAGGAGGAAGCGAGGGGAGTGGAGGAAGCGAGGTGGAAGAGGAGGGCTGGATGGCCCTTAGGAGGAGGAAGCGTGGGGAGTGGAGGAAGCGAGGTGGGAGAGGAGGGCTGGATGGCCCTTGGGAGGAGGAAGCGTGGGGAGTGGAGGAAGCGAGGTGGGAGAGGAGGGCTGGATGGCCCTTAGGAGGAGGAAGCGTGGGGAGTGGAGGAAGCGAGGTGGGGGAGAAGGGCTTGATGGCCCTTGGGAGGAGGAAGCGAGGTGGGAGAGTAGGGCTGGATGGCCCTTGGGAGGAGGAAGCGTGGGAAGCGAGGTGGGAGAGGAGGGCTGGATGGCCCTTGGGAGGAGGAAGCGTGGGGAGTGCTTGAAGCGAGGTGGGAGAGGAGGGCTGGATGGCCCTTGGGAGGAGGAAGCGAGGGGAGTGGAGGAAGCGAGGTGGGAGAGGAGGGCTGGATGGCCCTTAGGAGGAGGAAGCGTGGGGAGTGCTTGAAGCGAGGTGGGAGAGGAGGGCTGGATGGCCCTTGGGAGGAGGAAGCGAGGGGAGTGGAGGAAGCGAGGTGGGAGAGGAGGGCTGGATGGCCCTTAGGAGGAGGAAGCGTGGGGAGTGGAGGAAGCGAGGTGGGAGAGGGGGGCTGGATGGCCCCTAGGAGGAGGAAGCGTGGGGAGTGGAGGAAGCGAGGTGGGAGAGGAGGGCTGGATGGCCCTTGGGAGGAGGAAGCGAGGGGAGTGGAGGAAGCGAGGTGGGAGAGGAGGGCTAGATGGCCCTTAGGAGGAGGAAGCGTGGGGAGTGGAGGAAGCGAGGTGGGAGAGGAGGGCTAGATGGCCCTTGGGAGGAGGAAGCGAGGGGAGTGGAGGGAGCGAGGTGGGAGATTATGGCTGGATGGCCTTTGGGAAGAGGAAGCGTGGGGAGTGGAGGAAGCGAGGTGGGAGAGTAGGGCTGGATGGCCCTTGGGAGGAGGAAGGGTGGGGAGTGGAGGAAGCGAGGTGGTAGAGGAGGGCTGGATGGCCCTTAGGAGGAGGAAGCGTGGGGAGTGGAGGAAGCGAGGTGGGAGAGGAGGGCTAGATGGCCCTTGGGAGGAGGAAGCGAGGGGAGTGGAGGAAGCGAGGTGGGAGAGTATGGCTGGATGGCCTTTGGGAAGAGGAAGCGTGGGGAGTGGAGGAAGCGAGGAGGGAGAGGAGGGCTGGATGGCTCTTAGGAGGAGGAAGCGTGGGGAGTGGAGGAAGCGAGGTGGGAGAGGAGGGCTGGATGGCCCTTAGGAGGAGGAAGCGTGGGGAGTGGAGGAAGCGAGGTGGGAGAGAAGGGCTAGATGGCTCTTGGGAGGAGGAAGCGTGGGGAGTGGAGGAAGCGAGGTGGGAGAGAAGGGCTAGATGGCCCTTGGGAGGAGGAAGCGTGGGAAGCGAGGTGGGAGAGGAGGGCTGGATGGCCCTTAGGAGGAGGAAGCGTGGGGAGTGGAGGAAGCGAGGTGGGAGAGGAGGGCTGGATGGCCCTTAGGAGGAGGAAGCGTGGGGAGTGGAGGAAGCGAGGTGGGAGAGGAGGGCTGGATGGCCCTTGGGAGGAGGAAGCGTGGGGAGTGGAGGAAGCGAGGTGGGAGAGGAGGGCTGGATGGCCCTTAGGAGGAGGAAGCGTGGGGAGTGGAGGAAGCGAGGTGGGAGAGGAGGGCTGGATGGCCCTTAGGAGGAGGAAGCGTGGGGAGTGGAGGAAGCGAGGTGGGAGAGGAGGGTTAGATGGCCCTTAGGAGGAGGAAGCGTGGGGAGTGGAGGAAGCGAGGTGGGAGAGGAGGGCTAGATGGCCCTTGGGAGGAGGAAGCGAGGGGAGTGGAGGGAGCGAGGTGGGAGAGTAGGGCTGGATGGCCCTTGGGAGGAGGAAGCGTGGGGAGTGGAGGAAGCGAGGTGGGAGAGTAGGGCTGGATGGCCCTTGGGAGGAGGAAGCGTGGGGAGTGGAGGAAGCGAGGTGGGAGAGGAGGGCTGGATGGCCCTTAGGAGGAGGAAGCGTGGGGAGTGGAGGAAGCGAGGTGGGAGAGGAGGGCTGGATGGCCCTTAGGAGGAGGAAGCGTGGGGAGTGGAGGAAGCGAGGTGGGAGAGGAGGGCTAGATGGCCCTTGGGAGGAGGAAGCGAGGGGAGTGGAGGGAGCGAGGTGGGAGAGTAGGGCTGGATGGCCCTTGGGAGGAGGAAGCGTGGGGAGTGGAGGAAGCGAGGTGGGAGAGTAGGGCTGGATGGCCCTTGGGAGGAGGAAGCGTGGGGAGTGGAGGAAGCGAGGTGGGAGAGGAGGGCTGGATGGCCCTTAGGAGGAGGAAGCGTGGGGAGTGGAGGAATCGAGGTGGGAGAGGAGGGCTGGATGGCCCTTAGGAGGAGGAAGCGTGGGGAGTGGAGGAAGCGAGGTGGGAGAGGAGGGCTGGATGGCCCTTAGGAGGAGGAAGCGTGGGGAGTGGAGGAAGCGAGGTGGGAGAGGAGGGCTGGATGGCCCTTAGGAGGAGGAAGCGTGGGGAGTGGAGGAAGCGAGGAGGGAGAGGAGGGCTGGATGGCTATTGGGAGGAGGAAGCGTGGGAAGCGGAGGAAGCGAGGTGGGAGAGGAGGGCTGGATGGCCCTTAGAGGAGAGGCGCATCTTACAGGAGAGGAGCCTCTTCGAGAAGAGGCAGGGTCCAGGGGCTGGCAGGAGAAGAGGAGGAAATGGTGAAAATGAGATCCATGGGTTAAAGTTCATGTTTTGCTCTTATGGCCATGCCTACTCGAGTAAAGGGGCGCACCTTAGTGGGGAAGAAGTAGAAGGCGGTGGCGTGGGGGTGGGAGAGCAGCGTGTGGAGGACCGGCACGTTGTAGCACAACGACTTGCCTTGTGAGTTGAGTCTACTCAAGAGTCACCTTAGTGGGGCGCACCTTAGTGGGGCGCACCTTATTGGGGCGCACCTTAGTGGGAAGAGGTAGAGGGCGGTAGCGTGGGGGTGGGAGAGCAGCGTGTGGAGGACTGGCACGTTGTAGCACAACGACTTGCCACTCGCTGTTGCTGTCGCAATGATTGCATGCCGCCCGGCCAGTGCCGCGTCAATAGCCTTCACCTGCAGAGCAAAGCAGGGAATCAACCAAAGAAAAACGACATGGATCGATAAGGCCTCACCAAACAAGAATGTTTGTTGGTCGTCTCACTGAAGGGAAAGGGGGAGAAGAGGCACGGGAAGGCACGACCCACGTGTGCTTATCTGATGGGAATAGAGCTGGGAGACGCCCGCACGAGCCAAGGCGTGCCACGTGGCAGGGCATAACTGGCTGGCTGGCTTGCCATAGCGCGGTTTCCTCTGTAGCAGCTCCTTGCAGTGCACCACCTGATGGGGCAGACTGGAAGCAGGGCGGCAGGGAGGCAGGGCCGTAGGGAGGTAGGCCAACAGGGAAGCAGGGAGGCAGGTAGGTAGGGAGGTAGGGAGACAGGGAGGTATGGAGACAGGGAGGTAAGGAGGCAGGGAGTTAGGGAAGCAGGGAGGTGGGCGCGTGGGGCAGGGAGGGAGGTGTGTCAAGCAGGGAATTGTGCATATGAGAGGAATAACGAGGTATGTGGGTCTCAAAGAATGGTGAAACGCATTAACCAGGCTTCGTTTATCACCCACCGACCCAACCAAGTGGTGCCTAAGAAACCCTCCCACCCCCCACCACAGCCCGCACCTGCCCCAGAGATCCAAGGCCTCCAGTAGCTGTGGTGCACTCATGGCCTCCGTGCTCTGATGCCCGGCGCAACAGCGGGAGGGAGACACGACGAGGGGAAGGTAGGGAGGGGAAAGGGGACAGACAACGGAGTTGCAGGGGAGGGAGAAGCAGGGGTGTGAGGGGGAAGGGGGAGACAGATGACAAGTGCTGAGTTGGGTTGGCAGGAATAAAAAATCTGTGTGCTTAATGTTGTGAGTCACATGGCAGCACTCACGTCACAGCAGCACTCACATTGCAAGGAGGCACTTTTTTTAGTTGCCTGGGCGGACAGGGAGGTGTGTATCGTTGTGTCCCAATGCCCGTCTCATCATCCCACCCCTCATCGCCACCACAACCAGCACCAGCATCACAGCCTCCTTTCTTCCCACCCTTCTCTGCCCCTTCCCCACCCTCCATTGCACCTTCCTCCACCTCTCCAGTCTTAACAGACTCATCCCCAGCTGCCCCTCCTTTCCTCCGTTGCTTGTTCTGCCTCCCAACACATGCCTCCCTCTGCTGTTTCCCCTTCCCTCCCTTCCCACCTCTCCCCTGCCCAGCATGCGCATGAGCATCAGTATGCTGAGAGGAATGGAAGGAGGCCGCTTCAGCGAGCAACATGGACACAGAGATGTCTTCAAACGGGAAAGCGCGGAGTGGAATGCAGCTCTCCTCTTGTCTGCCAGCCTGACAGCGCTGCGACGTGGTATGCGTTGCTGTGTACCTGGAGAATAATGGAGGATGATGTGGAATGAGAGGAAGTGAGTGAGTGCACACAAGACAACTGGGAGGCAAAACCATTGGGAAAAAGAGAGTTGGGAAGCAGACAAGCCAGCTTCGTGTCACAGGTGGGTGGCGTTGGTTACGCCACAACCAACTAACCTCTCTCCAGCACTCACCTTGCATCACCATGCCTCCCCGCTTGATCTGCTGCTCTGGTGGTCGAGATGGGTCCCACATGTCCACCACCACAACCCACCCACCTCCATCTCCTCCCCTTTTCTCCCCTCCCCTTCCATCTGCTCTGCCCCCTCTTCCTCCCTGTCCACCTCGGCCCACGCCGTCTCTTCCCTCCTCCCGTTTTCCATCCTGTCCTCCCCTTTCTAAAGCCGCTCATCCCTCACTCAACTTTTGATCGCTCCCATTCGAAAATGGGCTCTTTTGTTTCGAGCACGCGGTGACGGAAGAATGCGGTACAAAAGTGGGCAATGATAAACACCAAGTAGAAGCGGTAAGGATGGCAAGGGCGAAGGGAGAGGGAACTTAGCCGTATGGGGGTGCTTGCAGAACAGTGGCGTGAGGCTTCCAGGAGGCTCGTACACCGCTGTGACTGCCTGCCGTGCGTCATCCCACTGCCTTCCCTCACTGCACCACGCTGCCATAGCACCAGACGAGAGGGGTGGAGCAAAGAAAAGCAACGAGAACCCAAGTAGTCAGCAGAAGAAAGGAAGTAGTAAAATGCATGCAAGGAGGCAGAGATAACAAGAACGATGAGTAGAGGAAACGAAAGTTGAAGATAAAAAGCACGTCGCACTGTGACGCTGTGAAAGGGGAGGCGATGGTAGCACACAGCACAAGGGCGCCGAGCTAGCAGGCAAATTAGGAAGGGACGCAGCATGATAATGAATGCATTATATTCTAACCCCCTACGACTCTAGAATGAGCTCAAGCCGCCCCAGTGCCATGCGCTACCATCGCCAAACGCCGCTCATCTCTCACTCAACATTTGATCGCTCCCATTCGAAAATGGGCTCATTTGTTTCGAGCACGCGGTGACGGAAGAATGCGGTACAAAAGTGAGCAATGATAAACACGAAGCAGAAGCGGTAAGGATGGCGAGGGCGAAGGGAGAGGGAACTTAGCCGTATGGGGGTACTTGCAGGACATTGGCGTCAGGCTTCCAGAAGGCTCGCACACCGCTGTGACTGCCTGCCGTGCGTCATCCCATCGCCCTCCCTCCCCGCACCACGCTGCCATAGCACCAGACGAGAGGGGTGGAGCAAGAGAAGAGCAAGAGAACCCAAGTAGTCAGTAGAAGGAAGAAAGTAGTGATATGCATGCAAGGAGGCAGAGATGACACGATTGGTGAGTAGAGGAAACAAAAGTTGAAGATCAAAAGCACGTGGCAATGTGACGCTGTGAAAGGGGAGGCGAAGGTAGCACACAGCACTAGGGCGCCGAGCTAGCAGGCAAATTAGGAAGGGACGCAGCATGATTATGAATGCATTCTATTCTACCCTCCTACTACTCTAGTATGAGCTCAAGCCGCCCCAGTGCCATGCGCTACCATCGCCAATCGCCGCTCATCTCTCTCTCAACATTTGATCGCTCTCATTCGAAAATGGGCTCATTTGTTTCGAGCACGTGGTTACGGAAGAATGCGGTACAAAGTGGACAAGCGCGAACCAGCAGCGGTAATGATGACAAGGGCAGAGTGAGAGGGGACTTAGCCGTATTGGAGAGCTTGCAGCGACAGAAGCAGCGAGGCAGTCATCGTTCCACTCAGCAGCAGGATCCATTCTGCTGCTTGTATTGCATCTCCGAATGAGAGTCACTCGTTGCTGTTGGTGTCATTTCGACCACCCTCGCATTCGCCTCTGTTACGGCCAGCGTTTAAATCGTCACCATTTTCATCTCGATAGTCAGCGTGTCGCTTCAGTCGTCACCGTGAGAAGTCACCATCTCGATCGCCACCGTCAGAAAGCATCGCTTTGATCGTCGCCGTAAGTATTCGCAATCCTGATGAATCCTCATCTTCACCGACTAAAACGTCACTTCAATCGTCACCATCGGGAAGAGTCGATTCGATTGTGACTTTGAGGTATCGCAATCCTAGTCGTCATCTTCGGAAAGAGTCGTTTTAGTCGTCACCGTTAACAATCGCCGTCCTGCTTGGAAAGTGTCCCTTCAAATGTCACCATCAGAAATCGTCGGTTCGGTGATCAGCGTCAGTAATCGTCCTCTTGATCGTCACCATCATAAGCGGCCGTCCCTAACCGTTGTTGGAAGTGGCTGTGTCGTTCGTCACCGTCAAAAAACACCCGCTCAATCACCGTTGGCGACGTCTCGCTATTCGAACTCCAAAATACTCATTGCTGTACCTCGTACAATTAATCGCCGTGTAAAACAGCTGTCGCCGGAAGGATATCGGCCTCGGTCATCACCAAATCGAAACGTTCTCGCTGCTGGAGAGCGGCGTCGCCTCGGTACTTAGATATTTTTCCGATCTCCATACGCTCCTTCAAGAGGCATCTCGGCAAATCCCCTCTGTTCCGCGCTCGTCAGATGTCTGGAATACTTAAACTAAGTTGCTCTGAAAACTGGAATCATTAGAAATCAGAACTGCGGTCTAGAGAGTAATTGCTGGATGGCGGAAATGAAAGTGCTCCGAATGACTACAATTTCTAAGCTTCGAATGTCTCTGTCCGACAATCAGACGTAAATCCCGGTTTACTTATTAACGATGACTACGACTAAGGTTAAAAGGTTACTGGCTCGCGTCAGGAGACACAGCCATGAATTGCAACGATCAGTGAATTCCGTCTTGACGACCTTGAGTAAACGTAACTGAAGATTACGAAGACTAAGGATACGAGTGAGAACCATTCATGGTAAACAGAATGGCGACCGCCATGGATTTCGGCTTCTCTTCGAGAACTTCATGAGTTCAGGGTTTCGGGTTTAGGGTTTCGGGTCTTCTCACGTAGATCATTTGTTTTGCAGTTGATGACTTCACCCTGGTTAGGATTGGTTGGCGAGGTGGAAAGAATGACGAGCGGTGTGACGAGGGGAGCGAAGGAAACACAAATCGCAGATTGAGAAAGCTTGCTTCTGTAGCAATTGGCATCGTTCTCATTACAATGGTGCTCAAGTACAATGGTTCCTAGCAATAATAATAATATACTATCACATTCAAAATGTCTAAGAACTACTACTCTCTGAAGATGACTAGCATGGGGAGGGTGGGTGGGAATTGAACTTGAGCGATTGTAAAAATGAGAGACGTGGGTGGGGGAAGAATGACCCCAGCCCACATTATATATTCGGAGAAGGCGAATACCGCGCTTCGACGATGCGCGAAATTGCGTTACAATCAGCTTCGCTTTCACAATACGCAAATTTGAAAGCGATAAACGCTTAGAAATTTTTCATATTGAGAAAGCTTGCTTCTGTAGCAATTGGCATCGTTCTCATTACAATGGGTGACGCTGAGACATGTGCAAGGGGGCGTGACGGCGGCGCTTGAGGGCCCTGGAATGTTGTGCTGGTAATGGCACATGAGCCGTTGATTGGAGGTTGCGAGAGGCGCCAATCAAACGGTCGGCGGTGGGGGTGACATACATTTCCTTGGCCGCTTCACTGCGCCATCGGCCTAGCTGTTTGAAGAGCCGGTCCTCGATTCCTGCGTTTGCCGCTACAATTGATGCTCCTTTGCGAAAGGAGTGGGTGCCGAGTGCGTGGTCGCCGAGGCCGACGGCGTGGAAAGCTTCCTTGCACCAATTGCGTATTGTGGTATACGATGGAGGTTTGACTGGGAGTGAGTCGCTTGTGGCCAAACCAAACACTCGGATTAATGGCCCTGGTGTGGCAGGACCATATCCTGCCAGTTGGATGAAGCGCTTGGTGCATCGAACAAGGCAGAAGGGTCCCTGGCTTGCAGCAATAGGCACCCATGAGCCCTTCCCCTCTTGGTCGTTCTTCGAGCGCGGGATGAGTAGCCACATGGCACTGTCTTCAAACTGGATATCGTTCCAGCCGATGGCGGCGAGATCCGAATACCGAAGGAAGCCGGCGTACATGAGAAGCGGTATGAGTCCTTTTTGAAAGGTGGATGGGTCGTCCGAGCTAATGAAGTGTGCGGCCATGGCGTGCACTTGGTGAAGAGACACCGGTTCTTTGGTTCGGTGGGTCCGAGGGCAGTGGCGTTTGGCAAATTCTCGGACTTGAGATGTCATTGGGCCGATGGTAGGGCAGGGGGGCCCAATCATGCGGTGGGCAAAACCAACCGCCGAGCAAGTGAGTTGCACCACTGAGAAGGTGGCTTGGTGGCGAATGGCGTAGACGAGGTACAGCGCGAGTGTCATATCTTGTGCAGGCAGGAACGGTAATTTAGTCTTTATGCAGAATGAGCGGAATTGCTGCCAGTATGGTTCGTAAGTCTTGATCGTAGATTCCGCACGCGTTTGCAGCATCATTGTGAGCAATTGGCTCTGCAGCGAGCGGAGTAATCCTGAAGCGATTAGAGAGGACGTAAGCAAATATGTTAACGGAAGGAGATGCGCAAGGCCATCATCATGCTATGGGGGAGGCCGGAACCCGAGAATGTTGTGGTGTGCTTGCCCGGTGCAAGGCATTGACTTTCGTGAGTAAGTTTCAGGCAATCACGGATCGGCGAGGCCCAGGCGGGCAATCACGGATCGGCGAGGCCCATGCGGGTGGCGAGGGTTGGAGAAGTGGCCACCAACTAGCCCCGGGCCAGAAGGGAACAATGAGTGTCAGTGAGGCTGATGTCCTTTGTGCGTGGTGAAGGACTGCCGGGATCAATTGTGGTGGTGGAAAAGCGAAACCATGTTCGTCAGCCCAGGATGTTGCGAAGGCATTGATCGCTAATGCCTTTTCGCAGTAGAATCGGGGGAGCTTGGCATTCGCAGCACTGACAAAGAGATCTATAGAGTGCGGCCCCCAACGTCGCTCGAGAAGATTAAACCATGGGGCCTTCAAGGTGTAGTCATCTCGGTCGAGAGTCTTCGAGAGCTCGTCCGCGAGCGTGTTAAGCTCGCGAGGTATCCATTCCATGATCAAACGAACGCGACGAGTCATACAGGTGCGGATGATGGCTTTGCATGCGGTAGTGAGAAAGCTGTTGCGTGATCCACCCTTTTTTAGAATACGCCCTGGTTGTCGACACGCACGAGCACATGCTTGTTCCGGATGAAGCTGGTGAAAGTTTGCAGTGCCCAGAGCACCCCCTCTAACTCGCGACGAGTGCTGGACGTGCCAAGTAGTTCCGGGGGCATGTTTGCGCAGGCCTTATGAGTCGTCGTGGAGAATGTGTCGAGTGTGGCCCCCCATAACAGTTAGCATTTTT